TAATGCTGTTTTTGAATAAACATAGCTTAACATAGAGAGCCTCTATCAATATGAGAGAGGGCTCATTAGAAAGCTATAATTCCATAGTTTTATTTTTGGTTAATAATGATGTTTGTATTTGTTATAAAAATAATGAGATATTTTAAAAAACTGATTTGTTACACGAGTTGGATTTTCTATTTTATATATATATGTAATTACACTTCCTGTGACATATTAATATTAATATCATTTGACTGATAGCAATTCGAATAAATGAATAATAACAATTCAAATAAATGAATAATAACAATTCGAATAATTTGAAATAAACGAATAATTTGAAATAAAATGAATAATTTGAAATAAAACGAATAATTTGAAATAAAACAAATAATTCGAATAAAATGAACAGTTCTAAATAAAATGAATAATTTGAAATAAAACGAACAGTTCAAAATAAAATAAAAACGAATAATTTGAATAAAATAATAATTGATATCTATAGCATTGGGATGTTAATATGGAGATATTTGCAGGTTGTCTGCCATTTGATGATAGAGCTCACAAATCATTTGATTTTTTGATATATGTGAAAAAGATTTACAACCACCAATATTACCTGAAATGTCTGATGATTATGTGCAAATAATGCAGAGGTGTTGGGATATGGATCCATCAAAAGACCAATTAGTAGAGAGCTTTTGAAATTTGCTGCTAATAAAAATAGCGAAATCATTAAAAATAATAATAATGAAATCCTTGAAAATAAAAGTTTGCAAAATAATAATAGTAACTTCAAAATTTTTTTTAATAATGATAGTAGCAGCAACAGTGATAGTGGTGGTAGTGATTTGCAACGAGTATACAAATCACATCCAGATGCATATCATACAAATAGAATATTAGATGAAGAGATTGCTGAATCTAAGGGCTTTAACATTATACAAATAACGATAATTCATTAAATAATCTCTTTCTTCTAGAATATTAACAAAGATGAATAAAAATTTCATTATTAATCAATTTGAAATTATTGTCCATTAATTATTACTTACAATATCAATTAATTAACTAATAAACATTATTAATCTCCATTATAAATTTATTATTATCTTTTTATTTATCTTTTTATTTTATCCTTATTTTGTTTCTCAAAGCTAAATTATAATAATGTTTTGAAATAATAAACTTTTTATAGTTTTTTGATTCTTGTTAAATGGTGATATTGTGATGGCAAATAATTCGGTGCTTGTCAATCAATTAGTTTACGAATTTACTTTGGTTTCCTCTTTCTTGCACCTAGACAAATCTGTGAGCACACTTAATAAATAAAGATGGCCTTTTCCAATGCTATAAAATTTCTTATATTCATTTTGTTTATCATATGCACTGATTTTGTTCGAACCCCA